AAAGAGAAGGTGGGTGAGGTAATATATTTTATTGGACCAACCTCTGCTGGTGGAAGAGACAAGCTTTCACACTACACCGAGCTCGTCTCTTCCACAAACAGAAGTTGATCCAATAAAAGATATTACCTCACCCACCTTGTCTGTCTCAAAAAATTGTACAGATAGTTGTGCTTTGAACTTAAGTTTGTATTAACTGTTCCCCCAAAATTGAGATGGACTACAGCAGCGATTCTCAAACTGGGGGTTGGGACCCCAAAGTGGATCACCCCACTTTGATGACATCGCCAGGGCTGTCTTAGACTTGCTGGGGTCCAGGGCCAAAGCCCGAGTGCTTCAGCCCTGGGCGGTGGGGCTCAGGTTACAGGCCCCCTGCCTGGGGCTGAAGCCCTTGGCATTTGGTTTTGGCCTCCCGGCCCAGGGCAATGGGGCTTGGGCTTTGCCCCCCAAACCCAGGGCGGCGGGGCTCAGGCAGGCTTAGGCTTTGGTCCCCCCTCCAGGGTTGTTTAGTAATTTTTGTTGTCAGAACTCAGAAGGGAGTCGCGATGCAATGAAGTTTGAGAACCATGGACTACAGTGATTCAAGACACCACTGCCCTTTGAGTTAGATGAATCATAATGGCTTGTGTGTGGTTTGTGGGAAGTCCCCAGGGAAGACTCTGGCCTTGGTACAGGCCCACAGTGAGTAAATGGGAATCTGTTTAATATTGCTAACAAACCCCAACCAGAGTGTCACATTCCACCGATCAATTCAGCTCTGTAGTATCATGACGTGCACTATGACATCAGAGGCAAGTGTTGTAGGTCTTCTTAGTAGGCTCTATGGATTAGATCCTCATCTGCAGAAAGTCCATGTAGCTCCATTTAAATCAATGGAGCTACGTCTAATTAGCCCAAGTGAGGATCTGACCTTATATGCTCTGGTTAGTTCCTCTGTAAATACTCATAAACACATTTACTAATAAAGGAGTAGTCATTACAAGGGCTGTCCAAAGAGAATGAGTTCAACTACCTGTGGTACAAAGCCTTCATTAGAAACAAAAGGAAAATATGTACTAATTCTAAACGAGGTCTTTGGAAGTGCCTAATAGGAGTGTACAAGAATAGCCTTGCTCCTCCAGTTTAGTATCTAAGATATTCCTTTAGCCCAACCCTCTCTGCAGAGAGAGAGTCATTGAACTCAAACCTGGGCTTTCCTCTGCTCAGATGTCCCCACCCGGTAGCCACATTGTAAGCCTGTCTGTCAAGGCTGATTCTCCACTCTGGCACTTTGAGTGCAGAAGGTGGGAGCCTGCAAGGATTCTAAAAATTAATACTGGCCACTCCGGCTGGTATTAAACTCCCAAGGTTACAGCTTTTCTCTGACCATGGCTTGGTAAACGCTTCCACCACCCAAATGCCAACCCCTTTTTGGAACCCAGGAAGATGCACTTGGGAATTCCTTCCTGTAGGGTACCCTCAAGCCCTTTCACACATACCCCCTCCAGGGAAGAGCTGAGAAAGAAAACAAAGGAAATTATCTGTTGCCACCAAACAGCATATGCACAAACCTCTTAGGACACAAAAATCCAAATCCTTCTTTAAAAAAGTAAATTTTATTAAAAAAAGAAAGAAAGAAAGAAAGAAAATACATCTGGAATTTAGGCTTTTGCTAGATTTTAAAAGAGCAATTCCAAAAATTAAGCACCCAACATAGCTTTCTTGGAGGTTCAGCTTAAAGGTTACAGGCGCAAACAAAAGCATCTGGGGTTAGCACAGAGGAGATCCACAAGCCAAAATAAAGAAATAAACCTGATTGCGTCTATCTAAACATTCTCTGTCCCAATGAATCCTTCTAGGTATGGAAGATGATTTTTTCATACCTAGTTCAAACCTTACACAACATTCCTGCTGTCCCTGTCTCTTCAGCACAGAGAGAACAACAGACAACAAAGGGAATTTTTTTCCCCAATTTTAAAAAGTTCTAGCCCTCCGGAGCATTGGAGGCATTTTAACCCTTTACAGGTAAAACAAGCAGAGAACAGCTACCAAGAAGGACTTTATAGCTAACTGGCTGGCTGGGTATTCATAAAAGGGAGCTACTCCCCCTTCATGTGTCACACCATCCATGTCACTTTCCTGCTGCCCAGTGGTTTCAGTGCTGCATATATTCTGTTGGATTACCTTTCCTGTTGGTGACAGGTAGGGTGACCAGATGTCCCGATTTTATAGGGACAGTCCCAGTATTTGGGGCTTTTTTTATATGGTCTCCTATTACCCCGCACCCTCTTCCCGATTTTTCACACTTGCTATCTGGTCACCCTAGTGACAGACAAAATACCCCTTCCCCATTGTCCCTGAAAAAGCTCTTGCCTGTTCCCCATTCCATGCTCCTTCCACACCTCATTGTCTATAGAACTAGGTGAGGGCTATTGATTCATTCCTACTCTCCTTTCTACTGGGGAATTTTTTCCCAGTAAATATAATCAGAGTCTGCCTTTTCATGATCTGATCAGCCTTTTTTCAGTTCCTGCTCTTTTAAGGTTCTTGCCGACTACCAGTGCTTTATGGAAACTGTATTGACCCTTCTATCTTGACTGCTTCCATTTTCTTTTCTGAATAGTGCTGTAACCCTTATTTTCTCTTAGCTGTTGCTGCCTAGCTCTCCAAGGCTACAGATCATAGCTGCTATCAGAGCTGTTGCCAACTTTTGCCCTTTTTAAACCCTCAGTTTCTGGAGCCAGATTATTTAATGGGAATCTCAACTATTTAGTTTCTAGCCCTTGTAGTTAAGAGAAAAGTTTGATAACACAAATCAAGTGCACGGCTCAGAAGACTGACAACAAATAAGAACCCCAAATTTATTATTATTATTTTTAAATCCCATGATTTTTAAGACAATCTCATGACTTTGGGGGTCTGGTCTGACTCATGAATTTTAAATACTTGGGGTTGGCAATACTGCATCACTTTTTATTTGGCAAGGACTGTACTTGTGTTTGCTGCATGGCAGCAGGAGACAACTGTAGCAATACTATGCTCAGAGCCCAACTGCTCCTCTCTTGCTTGCTTAGTGGACCCAACCATCTCATGCCAGCTATTCAAGTTATATAATAGCAGCTCTAGCTCTCCAAGATGCATCTCAGCTGCTGGTTGCCTAGAGAACCTGCATGCCATGCAATTATAGAAGAGGTCAGGACCAGCCCAAATGAAGAACAAGAAGGGAGAGAAAATACTGGAAGAGAACACACAAATAAAAGTAGTAACAGTGGTTTAAGACCACTTTTCTAGTTTAAAAAAAAATCTATTATTGACATATACAGGCTTTTGCTTTTAAATGTTTTAAAGTTTGTTTTCTTCTAATTTGCCTCCATGCTGAAAAGCCAAAAGCAAAACAAAAAATCCAGAGCTGGATAAGTGAAGAAGCACTCTAGTTGCAAGCCTCTCAGCAGTAGAATAATTAGGTTAATGTGCAATGTACTATTATCCACAGAACCTACAACAGGATAAGAGGATGAAAAGATTACAAGCAACAATTAAAACTGTCTATAACCATACCACTCTGAACAGGCCTGATCTTGGATGCCAAGCAAGATTAGTAGTTGGATGAAGACATCTTTGGCATACTGGCGATTGTAGACTTTTTGATTCTACTCTAATGCCAGATGGTGCTCTCTTCTCAAGTCATTTTCTCTCTCTCTTTTTTAAAAACAACTTTTCCACTAAAAGCAAGTGCAAAACAGGAAGAGCCAGATCCACAAAGGGACTTAGGCACTTCTGAGATCCACAAAACCTCCACTCAGCTGCTTCCTAAACTCATTCAGCATCTAACTTTTCACTACACTGCTACTGTATTTTCCACTCCATGCATCTGATGAAGTGGTTTCTAGCCCATGAAAGCTTATGCCCAAATAAATTTGTAAGTCTCTAAGGTGTCACAGGGACTCCTCGTTGTTTTAACTTTTCACTGTAACAGATACATACTTGCCTCAGCCACTATCACATACCAAAGTCTCAGCCCGAGCCTCAAACCAGGGGAAACTAGGCATTCTCATACTACCTTTAAAAAACAGCAGCAACAAGAAAGAAATATTTTCTTTTTACCTATTGTAGAAATGCCCAACACACACACACACACACACACTGGACAATATGTACCAATGACAGATTTAAAGTCCAACATCTCACAACTCACCAGAGCTTGGTATGAGCTTTATATCATTAGAGAAGAGGGATTCCTGGTTTTCCAATGAGATGAACAGTACTTACTTCTAGCCCTGGAAATCTTGAGATGTCGTATTTAAAACTGTGATTTATACATGGGAAAACAATTTTAAATAATTTATGTATGGAATATAAATTACCTAAAATAACTGTCCATTATTATTTGAAAGTGGGAAATCTTCCCTTTTCCATTGTATAAATCTCCCACTTCTTGTCCTAATTGCTTTATATATAAATTCCCAGTTTTGTAGAGTATGAGCAGTCAGTGTTCCACTTATACCAATGTTTATATTACAAACTAGTCTGATAAAATAGCAGCCCTCCCAGACTTTGGATATGTTATAATTTAATACAAAATGCAAGAACTTGAAATAAACTTCTGCAAGGTTGGGGGTGAGAGCAGGGGGGTGGAGGAAGGGTATGCAAGACAGCAAGGAGCCACAGCAGGCAACATCAAAGCTAAATGCTTCTCTTTAATTTCAAACTTTGAGGGTACCTACAGACTAAAGTAGGACTTCCAAGGAGTCCTATGTCATTCAATGCTGGTCTATGCATCCGAAGAAGTGAGGTTTTTACCCACGAAAGCTTATGCCCAAATAAATCTGTTAGTCTTTAAGGTGCCACCAGACTCCTTGTTTTTGTAGATACAGACTAACACGGCTACCCCCTGATACTGGTCACAGCACAAACCATTTTGATTTAAATTGTGCTTAGGGTTATTTCCCACACTACCACCCTTTAAATTACTTGTGTCCTTTTAATAAAAAAAAATTAAGTGCAGTTTTGCAGTGAACAATAACTAAGTAAAAATAGCATCTTCTTATTCAACAGATCCATTTTCTGTATATATTTTCACAATCAGATCTGCCCTCTAGGGACAAATAAATTTGTACTGCTTTTTACTCCTTCTAGTGCTACAGAGCTCAGTTAACACAGCTGAGAGAGAATTGACTGGATGGATTCTGTTATTCCTTGTGCATCATCACTAGAATTGCTTACTGAGTTCTAATCAGTTATGCCTGCACAACCCAGTTGCATAGGTGTAACAGAGGGCCTAATCTGACCCAGAGAACCTTTATTATTTGTTGAATTAGCAGGGAGGGAACATTTCTGTCAGCTGAACATCTTTAAAGCTAGAAATAATGGATAGCACATAAAGAGCTCCACAAAATGAAATTTAGACAGTAGCTGTTCAAACTGTGCCAACATTAGGCAATTTTTTCCAAATTTTAAAATCAGTAGAAATATTTTTTTTTCGTTTGAACACTAATAGGATCTAAACATTTCCTTGCAGTTTACTACCTGAAGAGTCAACATTGTACTGGACAACTGAAACTGACTAGTCTAATTTCCATTCTACACGCTGAGAAAAAAACAAAAAGTAAACAATGTAAAAGGTGAAAATAAAAATTACATTTTTAAACGTCCTTTTAGTTTAGTAAGCTGGCTAGTAGCAACAAGTAACTGCTTCTCAACGTGTTTTATCTTTTTGGTGACCCTTTAAAGGCAACACCAAGGGCGCCTCCAAATCCAAAGGACGGTTCAGGGGGGCTTCAAAAATGCGTGTGGTCACAGCGAGACGCGCTGGGTAAGGTCATGCCTTTTATTGGACCAACTTCTGTTGGTGAAAGAGCCATGCAGTAGACATAGTATTTGCTCTGCCCAGAGGGAGGGTGATGAGGCCGGGGAGCTGCCAGCGCCACCCCCCGGCTGCTCTCTGGGGGATGGGTTTGGAGCCTGCCACGGGAGGGGGGTGTCAGCAGGTCCCGTGGGGGTGACCCCGCGCTAGGCTTGCGGCCAATAGCGCCGCGTCTTCTTGCGGACTAAAATGGTTGGATTTGTCTTCTTCCGCTCGAAGCCTCACTTCAGCAGGTGGTATCCCTCCGCGTCTCCCCCTCCCCCTCGTGCTCGGATCAGATGTTCGGCTGCCCCATGCGATGTCCGTTCAACTGTCAGGGTAACCGTCACATAACAGGCGAGACGCCGTGGAAAGGCGGCGGCTCTGGGCCGGGACCCCGCAGGGAGAAGGAGAGGCGCTTGGGAAGTAGTTCCGGCGCGGAGCCGGAGAAGGGAAGCTACTGCCGCGCCGCCGGGTGAGTAAAGGCGGCGCGAGACAGGGGGCATCGCCAGTGGGTCGCGCTGCTGCAGCTCCTGCTCCTCCAGTTCCCTGCGCGCGGCGGGCACTGCGGGCGGCAGCGGCTCCTCCCAGGGGCGGGCTGGGGGCGGGGCGACTGCACTCGCGTTTCCTCCTTCGGCGCCATTTTGTAGCGCAGAGAATCCGCAAATAAAGAGCGGGCGGCAGCGCGGGGTGGGGGAGGCGGCGACCGCGGAGGCCCCGGGTCTGGGTGCTGAGGCGGGTGCGGAAGGTGCCGCCCTTGATGTGACGGGCCAGGCCCGGGCAGTCGGTGCGCGGGGACAGCGAGGCCTCCGCGCCGCAAGCGGGAGGTGAGTGACCGAGCGGCCTCCCCCTCTGCCGGGGTGCCGCCGCCTCCTCCTTCTCCTCCGCGCGGGATGTGGCCGCTGGAACGGGGGTGGTGGGCACCGGGCACCAGGGTGTCCCCGCCCTGCTGCTCTTGGGGCTGGGGGCTCCGAGCCCGGCGGCTCCGGCCGTTACCTACGGGGCAGGAGCAGCAGTACCTAGAGCCATTTTGTGTGAGGCGCAGGCGAGAGCCCGGCTGGGTGCGTGAGTCACGGCCCGGCCCCGGGGGCGTCCATTGTCCCCACCCGCCGGCTGGGGAGGCCCCGTTTTCTCTTGTAGGCTGCGGCGAAAGCGGTCAGGAAGGGGCGGGCGGAGCCCGGGCGGGATTAGGAGCCGTTCGAGGGCTCTGCCCCCCTACCACCGGCAATGAGCCGTGTCCCCGCCGCAGGGAGAGGCCTGTGCGCTCCGCTGTCAAATGGCCCGTCTTGCTGCGGGGGCGCCTGCGGGAGAACTGAACGGTTTCCAAGGCCTGTTCAGGGTGGCGGCAGGGTTCGCTGGCTACATGTAGAGGCGCAGCTCACTTGCGTTCCCGGCCTGCGGAGGCTGATGCACATGCTTAGCTTTACGCACTGTGCGTGGGTTCCGGGAGGGCAGCGGGACTAGTCACCGTGCCTAAAGTTAAGTATGTGAAGAAATCTTTGCAGATCCGGGGCCTTGTTTTGTATTTTTTGTTTGTTTGTTTTTGGAGACACTGATACCTGTAGTGGTGGTTTCTACACAAACTATAACATAAAAATTAGCTGCCAGGTATTAAAAAAAAAAAAGCCCGTAAAGCAATGTTTTAACTAAAACAATTGCAATTAACTGCATAATTTTATCTCTGTATCTTTTATATCCCTTAAAATATTACAGTACTGATGACATAATATTGTAAAGTGGCCTGTAAGATAAAATAGAACATGATGTTCCTCCGGCATGAGCCTTTTAGTTCATGTGTCAAATATGGCAAAGTAACAGCTGCTATAATCAGCTTGTAATAATAAGTTTTAAGAATTTACATAGAAATTTAAATAAAAACCCATCCTGTGTTCCAACTATCTGTGTTAATGTGTTACAAATAGGTGAAATATTAATGTATCTTGATATTACTGAGAGTAAAAGGCTGGAAACTTGACAAGCTACCATTTGTCTCCCAGAATGAATTTTGGGGTTAAGATGTACATTTTAGTATGATAGCGAATAAATTATGCCATATATAAACACTGAATTTGTGTTTATTTCAATAGGACATATTGAAGATTATTCTTTAAAAGAATTTTCATTGTTTATTCTTGTAGAAAATGGCATATGGTCATGCTCTTACAGAAAAATTACGATCACCTTAGCAGTGAGCTTGAATGTTCTTTCAGTTGAGAGGAGGCATCTTAGGTATTGCACAGTATTTAAAGTTGCTTATTCTTTGTGCTTTGCTTTTAAACAAAATAACTTATTTTTTAGTAAACATAGTCTACGTACTGTGGTCAGTGTCTTGGAGATGGTAGTCCATTATCCATCTTACTATTGGAATGTTAATGGCATTTAAAATAATAAAAATTGATAAAATAACAAACAAGACCCCTTAGGACTTGAACTTGCAAATAATTAAGAATGCAATAACTTTACACATTGAGTAAGAGTACCTCATGTTTAAGTGTTTATAGGATCGTTGCTTTACTGATTTATTTATTTATTTTCCCCATATCCAGGTACATATACTGACAAAACAATAAGCAATTTAAAACAGCCAATCAGCATTCAAAGACAAAAAACAAATTTAGGTTGTCTTCTGACACTCCTTCATGCTGCTGTAGAGGTGCCAGTAGTTTTGAGGAATTACTTAATGCATCTCAAAATGTTGACTACTGGGGTGCTGCTATCAATCTGCTCTGTATATCTAAACCTCTCAAGTTTAAATTGCTAAGGCTAGGTCTACACTACAGCGGGGTTCCGACCTAAGATACGCAACTTCAGCTACGTGAATACCGTAGCTGAAGTTGCGTATTTTAGGTCGGCTTACCTGGCGGTGAGGACGGGGGAAAGCCGACCGCTGCCGCGCTGCCGCCGACTCCGCTGCCGCCTCTTGTCGAGGTGGATTTCCGGAGTCGACGGCAGAGCGAGCAGGGATCGATTTTACCGCGTCCTCACGAGACGCGGTAAGTCGATCCCCGATAAACCGATTGCTACCCGCCAGATCGGCGGGTAGTGAAGACGTAGCCCAAGTTACTGTGAAGTATTGCTGATGCAGAAAGTCTTCAGTGTTTCAGTAATAGTGTGAAATAAAAAAAAAAAAATTTTTTTTGTACATACACATTATATATATATATATATATTGTATGTACGTACAAAAAAACTATTAAGAGAAAGTTAGCTATTTAGGTTGCAAAGTCAACCTCTAAGTTAAGAAATGCCGGATGTACAGTTGCTCATGCAACACGTATTCAGCCCCTTGTGCATCCATCCTGTGCACTGAATAATATTAGCCCCGGGAGTAAGGGGGGGAATACACATGATCAGATTAAAGGTTATATCATTATGCATATACACAAGGGGGAGAATTAAGATTGCACAGGAAATTTAAATTTGGTATTTCCCAACGTTTGAGCCACGTGGCTTTGCAACCTAAATAACTGTTTTAATGTAGACTTTTAATATAATTTTGTATTTCTTAAAGGAAAAAGTGTTAACATGATGCATATAGCATCATTGGCATGCATCATTATTTATATAGCAGCGTGGTTTGAACTCTGATCCTTCATTGCCTCAGGACTCTTACTACAGTAGTTGGCAGCAGGAGAAACAACTTGGTTGATTAGCTGCTGGTAGCTTTTGCTGGGGTGGAGGTGGCCTGACCTGGCTCTGATCGGTACATTGCCCCTAAAGCAGAGGTGGGCCACATCCAGCCCGCGGGACCGTCCTGCCTGGCCCTTCAGCTCCCAGCCAGGGAGGCTAGCCCCCGGACCCTTCCCTGCTGTCCCCCCTTCCCCACAGCCACGCGGGCAGCGCTCTGGGCGGCGCATCTGGCTCCGGCTGAGCAGCACGGCTGCCAGACATGCTGCTCTGAGCGGCATTGTAAGGGGGCCGAGGGGTTGGATAAGGGGCAGGAGGTTCCGGGGGGCAGTCAGGGGACAGGGAGCAGGGGGGGTTGGATGGGGTGGAGGTTCTGGGGTGTGGTGGTCAAGGGATGGGGAATGGGGGGGTTGGATAGGTGTGGGAGTCCTGGGGGGGCCTGTCGGGGGGCAGGGGTGTGGATAGGGAGCGGAGGGGTTGGATAGGGGGTGGGGTCCTGGGGGAGTGGTTAGGGTCGGGGGGTCCCAGGAAGGGGGTGGTCAAGGGGACAAGGAGCGGGGGGGGTTTGATGGGTCGGGGGTTCTGAGGGGGGGCAGTCAGGGGACGGAAAGTGGGAGGGTGTGGAGGTCAGGCCGTTTGGGGAGGCACAGCCTTCCTACCCAGCTCTCCATACAATTTTGCTACCCCGCTGTGGCCTGAGGGCCAAAAAGTTTGCCCATCGCTGCCCTAAAGCCTTGTGCTTGGTCCAGAGAGAGATGGTTGTAGGAATGGAGGCCAGCTGTGCTTCCACCACTGCTTTTGCAGCTCCAAGGTGTATCTGCTACTGCAGCTTTGGTACAGCAACTAGGACCTGTTTTAGAATGTTCACGTTTTTGTTGGTTTGGCATGCTGCTAAGATTTTCGTGAGGCAAACAAGTAGCGTATGGGAAAGAGTTGTCTAACAGATTGTAACTTCTCATGCATTTCATGAGACAAGCAAAAGGCACATCCCTATCCCCAAGGCTTTCGCCTTGCTGAATTTCAGACGTGCCAAACAATGCAGGTGTGTTAGAATTAATTACAAAAATAAATGAGCCTTTTATAATGGAGTGGTAGGCAACCTAAACATAGGGGACCACTATCAGTTCCATCCTATGATGTAGAGTAACTTGAGGTCTTTCTGGATGACAACACCTGGAGCAAAAGCAATTAGTAAAACCAAGACTGAGTATTTCCATTACAATTCCATTTTCAGTTGCTTAGCTCTTTCCAAAATTTTCATCTATTGAACTGAAATCTCAGAGCATGGTTTCTGCCCACAAATGGATAGTTTTAGAAAGTTTGAGCAAAAAGGCTTTGGTGGCTTTTCAAAAGGGGGGGAGGGACGCTGTGGCAAATGCTTCCCTTTTTAAACGTTTGAATAGCAGTATCTCCACTTGTTCTGAGGAAAAGTGTCTTTATTTAACCAGGCGGAGAGGTTGGAAAATTGCACTTTGTACATGCACTGTACTTCAGGTGCAACTTTTAAGTACTTTTTGCCACTGTTCTATGCATGGCTAACATAGCAGTGTGGTGTATGTACAATTATGGAGCCCTCTTTCATTGAGTGAGTATAGCTTTGCACATCTGAAAACAGTACATCGCCAGTGCAGTTTTTAAAAATACGAAAAACGTTAAGCCCTTGCCTTACTCGGTGCTCATCTAGAACGTTTTGCAGTGTCTAGTCTATATGTTTGGTTTAAAAAAAATCATTTAAAAACTACATCTAGGAGTATTATGCTTCCAAATGATGAATAAAAATCAGTTTAAAAAAATTAAAATGGATTTTTTTATTTAAATTAAGTACAGGCTTATTTAAAAAACCTGTTT